CATGACATAGGATCGTCTCAATTACCACAACCGATAGAAGGTATGTTAATAAACAACTCATATATACATATATGTTTACGTTTATGCAATTTTTTTGTTAATATTACAAATTCGTATATGCAGGTAATGAGGCTGTTACTCCTTTTTGGGATGGAATCCCACATTACACATATATTGATTGGAATCATCCGAGCAAACTATAATCTTATACCTAGGCTTCTGGCTCGGGTTTAGTCCAGGGTCCATGGAAAATTGGGGGGAAATTGTTTGTTAATCAAGAATTTGCATCAAAAAAAGAGGTGCAGATGGAAATCAAGCGGAACCTCTGGAAGGAGCATCAAGAAGCGATTGTGGTTGAGAGCACGCCTACAAATTAAAGCAAGAAATGTTGCGCGCAAGAACAGGTTTTCCCGTGGAGGGTTAGGGTAATAAAACCAACGTATGGTGAAAATTGGAAAGTTACCAAATGGGATAGAGATCATGTGCGCTTGAATGACCATATTTCTCAAGATCACAGACAACTTGATTCTGACGTTATTGCTTCACTCGTACTATGTACATTAATTTATAATTTTTTGCTAATTGATTGTTTGTTTTAGAAAGTTTTGAATAGTATTTGGTTGTTTGTCTTAATGTGTACTTTATAATTTGATTGTTAGAGATGATCAGCTAACAAGGAACCATCAGTTTCAGTTGCACTAGTTCAGGAGAGGATCACTCATTCTTATGGCTTCAAAGTTTCATATAGAAAGGCATGGTATGCAAAGCAGTAAGCAATTGCAATGATGTATGGTGATTGAGAGGAATCTTATGTATTTTTGCCCTGGTGATGTGCATATATACTTCGCATCTCACCAGGTTATGTTTACCATCTTCAAACAAATGATTATGTTGTCCATCATGTCGTAGTTTCTGAAAAATGTGTATTTCATTACATTTTTTGGACTTTACAATGTTGTGAGATAAAGGACTAAAATGTTTGATACCGTCACAAGTCAATTTTCTAAATTAGTCTTTATTCATTGACGTGATAAGTCAATTTTATACATGATCACGATGAATGAGTCGACACGGATTAGATTTAATCTACTCCGCATGATGCTGATTTATTTATTTAGTTTTTGGATATGAAAGGGTAAACACTTAGACATGGTAGGTGGTTTGATAAAGGACCGAGCTATTTGACATCATCGATCGTAAGTAGTCAATTTTCTAAATTAGTCTTTACTAATTGTTATAACGCTATTTTTACACATGACCACGAAGAATGATTCGATGAGGATTGGATTAATCAAATCTCGCTTGACGCAAGGCTTGAGTAATGCGGTTTTTTCACCTTTTTTTTTATTGTTTCTTAATTATGCTCCTTATGCATATTTAACTTATAATGACAAAGATGAGATACTAGGTTTTAAAATTCTGTTATTTAATTGCTGACTTCTTTTTGTATCAACCTTAAGGCCACCTTGTTTTGGCAAAACAAGCAAGAGCTCTGCATATAATAAGTTGGTATTTGACTGTTAAGCATTGTGGGCAAAGGACAACGCCTTCTGAGAACAAAAAAATCATGTATTATATCACATTAAATAAAAAATAACCCAGTAGTTAAATAAGGGTTCCCGAAATCTGTTTAACCCAGTAGTTAAAAAAGATATATATGATTACCAAAAAAAAAAAAAGATATGTATAGAATTAAAAATATTTAAACTTTCAAATTGTTTAGTTAAATGGACTAGTTAAAAAAAAAGTTACTTCAACGATAGAATTAAGGGCACATTTTTTTTTGTATTTTTTGATAAATAATATTTTCAAATAAAAACTACATCCAAAATATTCAAATATAATGAAAAAATTCAAAAAATAAAATCAAGAAAAAAATTTGTTTTTCATAAAAAAAAAGGGAGAATAATTTTAAAAAATAATATATATATATATATATATATATATTCAGATTATATTTACAACTTTTTTTGTTTACAACTCTTACAACCTCAGTTATGTTCTCCAGGGAGAACATAGTTGAGGTTATAAGAGTTGTAAACAAAAAAAATTATAAACGTAATCTGAACATATATATATATATATATATATATATATATATATATATATATATATTTTTTTTAATTTAAAACACAGACGGAAGCTAAGCTAAGCAATTTATCAAATTAGTGCATGTTTATTTCAACTTATTTAAATATTGCTAAAAAGCTCTTTAAAAACTTGAAAAAATTAATTAATCCAAGCACAGATTAAATATTATCCGTTATCACCTATGTTGCACTAACACCGACACGAGACACGACACGTCGATACGTTAATTTTAAAAAAAATTAGATTTTGACACGTTAGGATACATTTTGATATTAAATAATATTTTTAATATATATAATATAATTTACATTTAATATATATATATATAGTAGTATATAATAAATCATATAATCAGTCAAATATTCAAATTTCATAACATAATATTTGTTAATTTTTCAAGTCAAATTCCATAATAAAAAACATTTGATATATAAATTAATTTCTCATATTTAGTTAAAAAGATAATATAAAATAAAATTTGGATCTAAAAAAAAAATGTGTCGAAAAACGTTGACCGCACCTATCGAAACGTTTCGATGCCCGACACATGTATTTCACAAAAATTATCGTGTCGGTGCTTTTTAGTTCATAAGCGTATCCTTCAAAGTTTTTATCCATATTATCTAGTTAATATCTTTCAAACTATATATATTTCAAGGGTAAAGTGTGTGTCATCTTAAAGGATGTAAAGTTGTATCATTTTAAAAGAGAGAAAGAGATAGATAAAGGATGAGAGAGAGTTGACTAAAAAAATAAAGGTGTGAGTCTCACCTCTTTGTGAAAGTGAAAGGATATAAATTGTGTCATTTAAAAGGATAAACAATTTTCCCATATTTCAATTACAGCAGTGTTTGATCTTCTAGAAGAATGTTTGGTTTTTAATTTGTTTAAAAAAACTAAAATTAAAAAAATCAGTTGGTTTCCCACATTGAGTGGCCTGTCATGAACCATTCAGAAAACTGTTCGTGGGTCGTTCTACTAATTCAACTTCGTTGGATCAGTTAGCATTTTTCATTAAGTTATTGAAAATGGGGATATGCGTCCAGCATATGATGCCTTCTAAGTTAAAAGAAGTAAGGAATTAATCATAAATGTGTGAAAATAAGTCATAAATGCAAGAAATATTGATTATTCCTTCTCAATCATTTTCTCACTCAATTTATGCATTTTAATGAAACACCAAAAATGAAGTGAATGAGAGAAGTGGCAATTTTTCAGCTGGCGCAATTTGCGCGAAGCATGGCGCAAATCGTGCCATTTCAACTTGAAGATTTTGTATCTTGGCGCAAATTGCACGGGTACTGCGCATTTTGTGCGAGGTTGGCGTAATTTGCGCGGGGTTTGGCGCAAATCGCGCCATTTGACAGCTTCAGCTTTGTTTTCCCGTGGAAGTTGGCACAAATAGCGTGGGCGATACATTTTAATTTTAATCTGATGCGAATTACTCAAAAAGGAGGCCCAATTGGAGGCCAATGGAAAGTAGGTTTTCCCAAAACCTAATAAAAGGATCAGAAAGAGAAGAAATAGGTACTTTTTGACAAGAAGGAAAAGAAAGACAACAAAAAGAGTGAGAATTCTTGGGAGCTTCTTGGAGTATTAGAGATTCGAACGATCAAGACGGAAGATCTTCATCTTCTTTCTCTTCTTTAGGTTCTGAATTTATTTGCTTTTATGTTGATTTTGTCAGATATGAATATGTCTGGCTAGTTTTTACTATTATGGTAAGGGTCACAACCCTTGATGTGAACCCCTTGTAGTTTGGTTGAATTTTATGTTTATCTATTTAAATTGAATTTATCTTGCCTTGTTCTTCATTCTATAATTCTTTTGGAACCGATCAATCTAATTGGGTTGCGAGGGTTAGGGTTTTCAATAGGGATATTGGAATTCTAATTCCTGACAAAGGGCAAGATAACTGTTCATGTATGCACTAGGGATAGGCTACATGAACCGCAAACGTTAAAGATTCATTGATTCTAAGGTTTAACTTGAAAATGAATTTCTAAGGGATTAAGATTCTAATAGAGTTAATAAGGTTAAAGTCACTAAGGAATTAGGGCTTATACTAATCATATAAAAGATGATGGATCGTTTGATCAATTGAATAAGTAAACGTAAATGTAATCCAAGTTGCAAGGTGGGGATCGTAAAGATGTTTGTTTCTCTTTACTGCAATATTTTCTCAAATATTTTCTCAACCTTCAGTCTTTTGTTCTTGAGTTCTAAGAGAACCTTTGAATTATTTACACTTTCTTGAATTGTTCTCATTTTTTTACAAACCATAATTGTTCTTAAACCATTTTTATTAATCCAACAAGAGAGGAATAGTTATAATAAATTCGGTGTCTCAATCCTCGTGGAGACGATACTCTACTCATCATTTTATTACTTTGTACGATCGATATACTTGCCGATTGCGCAACAAGTTTTTGGCGTCGTTGCTGGGGATTGAATACGCCAAGTTTATTAATAACTTTTGATTTTCTTGATTGAATTTTGTGTTACTAATCTGTTTGCTTTAGTTTATGCGTGGTGCAGTTGATCCTGAAACTTTGATCTACGATCCAGAGATAGAAAAAATTGTAAGAAGGATAAGGCAGCTTACCAAGCGGAAGAAGCAAGCAGAAATTTCTACTTCACCTTTTGAGGTAGAATCAGAGATGGCAGAAGCCAATCCACCACCGGAAGAAGAGTTGATGGAGTCAGTCTTGGCTGCATTGTTTAGGAGGTCAAATTCTAGCATTGTCAGACCACCGATAGATGCCAACAAATGGCTTTTATACACTTTAGCAAAATGTTACGTTCTACATTCTACTTTACTAAAAGAAAAGAGTAAGTTAATTGAAGTAAGAAAAGTTCTAGAGAGACCTATAAGTGATGTGTATGATTTAATCGAGTTTTCAGCCACTTGGAGTCAAAATCATCCCAAACAATTCAAAATACAGATCACACTACGTAACTATAATACATTTTGAAGTTAAACTGAGAAGATTAATTATTACCTTTCCGTTTTCATCATGTAGAGTAAAAACTCATTCCATGTATCAATAGGGCCTGGCATGCACCAGTGAACACAGTCGTTGACGCTCACATTTTTATCTAACGAATGACCATATTTATGAGGATGTCCATCGGGCCTCATCAGCATTGCATCTGTTATATCTATCAAACCAAAGTGCAAACCCTTCTTTCTCGCTTCCTTCTCTGCTTCTGTAAATTCCTCCTTTTGTATCTCATGTAATTTTTCTAAACCATATGGATGCACCTTTGTTTTTTCTTCCATACTTGTAACGGGCTGTGTTCTATTACAACCCCCACCTTTATTCCACACCCCATTCTCAAAGTGGTTTGGAGAATGTGTCACCAAAAATGTCAACCCCTTGAACCCTTTAAGATTTCCAATTGTTCTCAAAGCTGTTCGAAATGCATTCCTGTATCCATAGAAGTCAAGCTCTGTCATGTTGGGGCACTTTTGACATCCAACAACTTCACCATTTTCGTAGAATGTTAATGGTCGGAAGAACCACTGTCCCCCAGAGAAAATTACGTAGTCAAAATTTTCAATTTGACTAGTCCAAGCTTTATCTGCCTCGTCTAGATAAAGGTTCTCGGAGTTGTAGAAGGAACTATCATTTAGATAAGTTTTAGTGGAATTTACTAGAAAAGGAGACCACAATAATGTAAGAGTAAAATTATAATCAGCATATAACCACCATTTGAAATATATGTCGGCCTTCGATGTATATCTGGCTGTAATATCCTCAGGATGAGTAACCTGAAAGAGTTTTGCAGAAAATTTCCAGAAGGATCATCCATAGAGTAAAAACATTGGGTCCCAAAATATATAGATATATATGATTGGCAACGTGATTAAAGAGTGAATATGCAAATTAGTCCTTAGAATTAAATATATTCTCCATTCGCAATTTTGTCCCTAAATTTATTTATATAAAACTTTCTGTTATGTTAGTTTTTCTTGTACCTCATTTTAGTTCTTAAAAAAGAGACCAATTTAATACGAGTTTTATAAATTTTAAGAATAGTTCATAGATATAAATAAATCTAGAGACTAGATTGTAAGTGAATGATGACTTCAGGAACTGATTTGCCCATTTATTCCATGATTAAATATTCTTTAACTAACAAAGCTATAGATTATTCTATAATAGCAGTTTGCAGGTTCTATAAGATAGTTATAAACATTATAACCATGATTAAATACAAGAACCTAGATACCTATTTATGGCCATAATCAATTAATTCATTAATTGGGACGGACTCGTTTTACATTTTGCAGCATAGAATGGAAAAAATCTTCTAGTCTAATCAACCGTAGATAAATGAGACACTCTTTCTGAGTACATATACAAAAGATTTACCTTATATTATAATGAGTTTACCTCTCTCGATTAAAAAATAATTTGTCACTATCTTAGGAGTGGATAGGATAATTTCAAATCTCCTCAAGTTTTCAAGAGTTTTACCTAGTAAAACAAGAATAACTAATTTATCTTATCAGGGTGACTAATTATATACTTATTTAGTCCATAAACAATTTATCTTATCACTTACTTTATTCCAATAAAGAATCAAAGATCATCATCAACGGTCTGAAAAACACAGAGTCCTAAAATATTTAGTGGGAAGTGTTAGTGAAAAATTAAGTAATGGTTATATAATTGCCCATCGACTCAACGATTTTAAAATTTTAGAAAGGATCTCTTTAACCTATTGGGCTTTCCCACTAACGTCTTGATACAGCCAGCATTACTAAAGCGATTTTTAACAAATAATGCAGCTAAAATAAACCTGCTTATGGGCCTAAGCTGTGGGCATGTAGTGAAGTTAAGCAGAAGCAGTTGTCGGCCCATCAAAGAAAACGGTGTCATTTAAGTGACAGAATTAGGTTAGCATAAAAAAGAGACTTGATGTGCCTGGCCAGGTGTGTCCTAGATTAATTATTTTAGTCTTCCTCTGTTCCTCATGTGAAGTGCATAAAGATGTTTGAGACTACTATAGATTAATGCGCTAACGTTGCTTTATTACTAAAAGAAGACAAGAAAAATCAACTCAGACATTTCAATCTTCTCTCTCTCTCTTTTATGCTTTTCAATGAAATATGAATGACCTACTAAAAATGACAATTAAAAGAGACACTATTACCAATTATTATTTTTTAATTGAATTATCATGAAGTTAGAGAACAAAACATTTCAATCCCAACTGAGATGGGGGATGGAGTTAAGGTAGAGATTTTTTAATTCAATTATACATATAAACCCAAAAAAAAAAAAAAAAGAGTTATCATTGATGAATTTACTTACACTGTTTAAGAGGCACAACAATGATTCCATCTGATTTCTCCCAACTGAGTCCCCAACAAAGGCCATTGACTTTCCCCGAACAAGCTTCAAGAATAGAGATGCATCAAATAGCGGAAGTTCACATTCATGAGGTTTCCATCTCCATTTGAGGAAGTCTCTGTCAGGTCTACCATGAATGAAACAGTTCTGCTTGTCAGATATGAAAGGGCAGGTTCCATTATCATAGTAAGGTCCTTTGGGATAAGGAACCCAGTTTCCAGAGAATATGTTGCATCTCCTTGTTTCTGTGGTTTCCAAACTGCTGGCATATATCTTAGAAGATGATTTATTTAACTTCATGATCAGAGGAAGGAGCACCACAATGATAAGCAGAGTGAGTGGTAATAGGAACACACCTTTGGAAATGTTTCTCGCTGCATACTTACATTTGAAAAGCTCAATGAACTCAAGCTTCATGGCTGTGATCATGGCCTGAACTTGTAAACTCTCTGCTCTGAAGCTGTTTATAGTAGCAATTATAGTGAAGATCTCTGGTCCTGGTCTCTTAAACTGTGCTGCAATCGAAGCTTCAAATAGCACAAATAACAATTAATGGAAAATATATGTTAATGAAATTTGGTGCAGATTAATTGGACTTGCTTTGGTAATTGTAGTCCAGCACTCTGTTTCTGTTCTGAGCTGCTTAAGCACGGTCACCTATAACATCTGCCAAGCAATAATTTATTAGGAGAGTAAAAAAATATAATAATATATTTGGCACATGTTAGATGGAGGATATCGAGGGAACTCTTGATTGTATTTTTGTTTTGGGTGCTTGATTGTATTTGATTAGGTAATCTCACATACTTTTATTAAACTTTGACAATATTATCATGTCACATTATATAAATTTTTTTTTTACATACACAATATTTTATGAGATCTGTACTTTTTGAAGCAAAAAAAAAAAAAAAAAACTAAGGCATTTAAAACGAATTTCTATAACATTACACAATCACTTTTCCTACAACATAACTCTTACAAAACCCATATATATTTAGCAAAAAATAAAAATAATAGAAAAATTAAAAAAAGGCAGTGGACAGCATTTAAGCAAGACTAGAACTAGGTAACAAAAAAAATCCCACTTAACTATGGTTAGCGACAACTAATGTTAGAGGAGTATCGACTGTTGACCAATCATCTTCTTCAAAGGAGCTAACTAACCTAGACTTAGTTTTAGCGGATTCCAACCACGGCGAGGGCCAATTCCACTAGGATACAAGTTAGTCGTTGAGTGTGGGACCCTAGACAAGAAAATAAAGGGTCAGAATCAGCCCACCGATTAACGTAATACTAAGTTTAGAATGATAAGAAAAAAATTAATTAGATTTTACATTCAATAAATTTGATATAGAAATCAAAGTTATTTAAAATCTATTTTTGTTGGTACAAATATCAATTCTTGTTTTATACTTTTCAAACAAGAAAATCTCACTTTATAAATAAAATCGAATTTCAGACATTGTGTAAGTGATGATAACCGAGTAAAATTAATCAACTAGGAAGGAATTGTTTGAGCAGCAGAGCAGTATTAAGAAATCTGTCTATTGACCTAAGTTATGGCTGTTCATGTCATCCCCAACAAATCAAAATCTTGAATCATTGTTTGGGCCTGGGCCTGGGCTTGGTTTTCATTCCTTAAGCACTTATCCTAGTACTTTTTTTTTTGCCGGTTGGCTTCTTTTACTGGATTGGCTTCGTGCAATGCAACTGTAGGTAATGAATTGTGCTAAATAAGACTTTTTTTTGTAGTGGCAGTCCACATAAGGTCACGATAAGGACATGCAATACAGATTTCTGAGATTTGTGCTGAAACTTTTTTTTCTTTTTTTGGATAGCTAGATTTGTGCTGAAACTTAATAAGAGTTTTGGCCACAAACTTAATTGATACCTATAGAACCCAAATATGAGTTCAGCTACAAATATATATTAAAAATAATGACTTATAGCAGTCAATTTTCTTCCATTTTTCCCCATCGCTCAACCTCAACTAAGGTGGAATGGTAGCTTTTCGTCGGACCTTAACTTATATATATATATATATATGAGAAAAACATTTCTCAAGCAGCTTGAGATAAGTTCATCTCCGGTTACCCCAAAACTTCGTCGTTTTATTTATTTATTTTCTTATATTAATTGATTCACCTTTGAATGGTTATGATTCCTTTTTTTTCTCTCTTCCTTTATCATCATTGATCCATCTTTGTACGGTTATGATTTAGTAACCGGATATAAGATTATCTCAAGCAGCTTGAGAAACGATAAGCCCTATATATATATATATATATATATGGAAAAACATTTCTCAAGCTGCTTGAGATAAGTTTATCTCCGGCCACCCAAAACTACGTCGTTTTGATTATTTATTTCCTTATATTTATTGATTCACCTTTGAATGGTTATGATTCCCTTTTCTCTCTCTTCCTTTATCACCATTGATCCATCTTTGTACGGTTATGATTTAGTAGCCGGAGATAAAGTTCAGTTATGATTTAGTAGCCGGAGATAAAATTATCTCTGACAGCTTGAGAAATGTTAAGCCCATATATATATATTGTTATTATCTATATATGGAAAGATGGAACAATATTGAACTTGCAAAACTCACAATTACGTCTCTACATTAATATCTTTAATGTTAAATCAAAACAAGTCTAGAAGTTACAATATAGTCATAGTACATATAGGTTAGATTTGGTAAATTTTAAAGAAGGATTAGACAATAAAAAACCCAAACCGAATTATGGAATTTCCTGATATATCTTAAATAGGAAAGTTCTAAGAGAAAAGTAATAAAATACCTAGAAAGATAAACATGTTCAAAACATGAAAAAAAAGGTGGTAAACCTGTATTAGACAATTTGTTTCAGCATCCAGCCAAAAAGTTAAACCCTTCAGAGTAGGGGTGTTCATGGTCTGGATTTGATCGGTTTTGGAAGCAAAAATCATCACATCCAATCTCTTCGGTTTGATTATGTAATCATCCATTCGATTTGAAATTTTTTTCAAATCCGATCCGATTCAATCCAATTTTTTCGGTTTGGATTAGATCGATTTTCGGTTTTCTGAAAATCCTAAAATTTATTTCATGATTATTGTGTAAATAACATCTTTTGTATATATTGACTTTGTAAAAAAAATAAAAATACAAAAGCATTAGTAAACGATAATATAGTTTTTTTTTGTGGGGCAATGAGATATAAAGCTCTACAGAGATAAAATTTTGTTGATGAGATGCGACTAGGCTTTTTCTTGGATTTAGTTGATGGATTAATGAGCTTTGTGTTTAGAAATTTTTGGGCTATGATTGGGGAAAGGCCCGAGTAGGTAGAAGAAAATTAATATATTGGATCGGTTTAGAAACAAAACGGTTTTCATCAACAAATTCGAAAATCGATCCAATCCAATTAAAATTTACGATTTTTTTTCGATTTTCGGTTTATTCGATTATCGGTTTTTCGGTTCGGTACCGCGATTTGAATCGGTTTGGATCGGTTGATGAACATCCCTACTTCGGAGGGCCAATACTTTTAAGAAAGCATTAACCTCTCTTTTATAATTTCTAATTATCGCTCCATCACAAGCTATGTATAGTTTTCTTTTTGGATGAACTAATCAGCAACAATTTATGAAAGGAATTTTGGTGGCTGCGGAGAGAGAGTTTTTTGGCATATAAATGATAGAGGATGATTGATAGAGACATTCTACTGACGCATATCATCTTTCTTAAAGACTAACCACGGCGAGATTTCAGTCACAGTGAGTTTTCTATATTTTGTTTTCAACTTAAAAACAAAAAATTAAAAGAACATACAAGCCATAAGTTGAAACCTTTTGGTTTTAATTAATTTTACTCATTTTATGTTTTTGTCCCTTTGATAGGGTTATCATTTATCAACTGGAGCGGTTGGGTTAAAATAATTGTTTACTATGATAACAGATCATAAGGTTACGAGTTCAATCCCCACCACCTATTTTTTATTAAAAATAATAATATTGTGAAAATTTTAATAACAGATACGGGTTAATACATCTTCCACCCTTCACCTCATAAGAGCTCTTCTATGAGAGATAACATATTAGAGAAATATATAAAAATCACCGATGAGGCTTCATGTAACGAACCAGCACTACAATAATGGACCAGAAGACAATAGGCCCATCAAGAATAAAATGAAGATCAATTACCTTGCTGACTATGTGGTTTAAATGGGCTCACACTGATTTCCTTTTATATATAGTAGAAATATAGAATGTCCATACGTAACTAGCTTAACGAAAGCATAGTATTTGAATTCTGTAATGTTGTTATGTGACCGAATATAAATACTGTTATTGGGGAAATAGAAGATATATAGAAAATTTGGAAATTCTTCTTCTCTCTCTCATTCTCACTTCTCCTAAACCCTCTTCTTCTTTTATCTTTTTCACCTCTGCGAAGGTGCTTTACGTTTTGGTGTTTTCATTCTCTCCCTCTTTTCACTCTCATTCCCTTTAAATTGATGGCGAAAAATGCCAGATTCAAGGATATTCAAAATCAATTCCATGATTTACAATTGAGTATTCCAAATCTAGTACATGATAATATGACTCATATTCTGGAGATTTCTCGTGAATAACACACTGCTTCTTCTAATGCCAATCTGGGCATTTTGGGCGCCGACCCTAATCCTCGATCTACATCCTCTGGCGATAACAATGAGTCTCCTAATTCCCGATCCAAACCCTAGCATTTAACTTTTCTACGCTTCGCCTCAAGAGACCCTTCTACTTGGCTTTTCACTGTTGAGAAATATTTTTACTACTATAGAACCAGGAAGATCATAAGCTGCTGTTGGTTTCATTTCACTTGGATGTGCCCGCAGCATGTTGGTTTCAAGGTCTAACCAGACATTGAGTGCAAACCGACTGGAATTCCTTCACTGTGGCCTTGCATCAACATTTTGGGCCAACAGCATTTGAAAATCTCGTTGGTAACATGAAAAAACTCACTCAAACCTTCTCTGTTCTTTATTATCAATCCTGTTTTGAACAATTGGAGAGTCGAGTTCCTGGAGTACCTCTATCCTTACTTAAGAGCATGTTTATATCAGGTCTCAAACCAAAAACTAAACGAGTTGTACTAGCTCACTACCCAACCAACCATCATGTGGCTTTCACATTAGCTAGGGTATATGAAGACCAATTTGTTGATGAACGTAACCCTCAAGCTTGGAACCCCAAACCCTTTCACAACCAAAAAAAAACCCCCACACACTCAGACTACTGGAACATACACCACAACCCCAGTGAAACCACAGTTTCCACCCTGCCAATTAAATGTCTTACCCTTCTGGAAATGCATTTGAAACGTGAAAAACAACAATGCTATAATTGTGAAGAGAAATTTGTGCTAGGCCATCGTTGTAAAAATTGCTCTACCCTTCTGCTAAGAGGGTTCTGACTTCAACCCTGACCCTTCCTCAGAAATTCCCAACCCCGAATTTCATTCCCCTATCACCGAAACTGACCCACAAACCACACCGGAGATCAGCTTCAACGCCCTTTTCGGCCATCATTCTTTCAAGTCTTTTCGGCTTTTAGGGTCCATAGTAGGTAAAAGGTTACAAGTGATAATTGATAATGGTAGCACTTATAACTTCATTACCCCAATGATGGCCACATTCTTAAAATTTACACTGCTTAAAATCCCATCATTTCTAATACAAGTGGGTAATGAGGATGCCCTCCTATGTTTCACAATATGCTCAAAAGTGATCGTGGTTTTACAATCTCACAAATTCATCCTAGACCTATACATACTGGATTTAGTGATTTACAAGGAGCATATATTGTGTTGGGCATCCAGTGGTTGGCCACCCTAGGGCCAGTCACAACTAATTTTGCAGATCTTACTATGACTTTTATTAATAATGATAATCCAGTTATTTTGCAAGGGTGATAATTCTATTCATTCGGCCCTTGTCTCTACTTCACTACTCAACAAACTCATCTCGAGGGGATTTACTAATTCCTTTATAATGTGTTTTACTTCAACCCCAAACATCCCACCATCTCACCCAACCACCATATCTACTGCCCCAACCAGCACCTTTACCCCTTCCCATTCAGAACCAGAAATTCAAAACCTCATCACCCAATTTTCCATTTGTTCTCAGAACCCATGGGCCTACCACCATACCGCCCTCATAACTATTAGATTCCCTTATTGCCAAACACTAGCCCAATCTAAGTTCGACCCTATAGATACCCCTACATCCCAAAGGCAGAGATTGAACGCCTTGTTTGAGAGATGCTTCAGTATAGTATTATCAGACCAGGCCACTCCTCTTTTAGCTCCCCAGTATAGTTTGTTTGTAAGAAGGACGACACTTGGAGAATCTGCGTTGACTATCGTGCTCTAAACACAGTCACTATCCAAGACAAATTCCCTATTCCAACGGTGGATGAATTATTGCACGAACTATATAGTGCTATGATTTTCTCTAAACTATATTTAAGAATCGGTTATCATCAGATCCGGATGCACCCAACAAATGTGTACAAGACGACCTTCCGAACTCACTATGGGAATTTTGATTTTCAAGTGATGCCCTTTGGAGTGTCCAACGCACCCTCCTTATTCCAAGCTACAATGATTGAGGTTTTTGCTCCATTTCTTAAACGGTTTGTTCTTATATTTTTTGATGACATTATTTTCTATAGTAGTCCATTACAAGAACATATTGAGCATCTTTCTCAAGTGCTACACACACTGCAACAACATTTCTTATTTGCAAAATACAACAAGTGGTTATTTATTACCCACTCCATATAGTTCTTAGGCCACATTATTTCGGCCCAAGGCGTAGCTTCTAACCCAACAAAGATACAAGCGGTCCAAGCATGGCCCACCCCCAAATCATCCACTGAATTACATGGCTTTATAGGTCTCTTTGGACACTACATGAGATTCATATAACACTATGCCATAATTGATGCCCCACTTACTGACTAGCTCACTAAAGATGGATTTCGCTGGATAGAATATGCATTTCTTACTTTTATTGACCTTAAACACCGTCTGACTGAAGCCCTTCTTCCCAATTTTGATATTCCCTTTGTTGTGGAGACAAACACATTCGGCATAAGAATAAGTGTGGTGTTGATGCAATAGGGTCACCTCATTGCCTTTTATAGCAGAAAACTATCTCCATCAATGAAATCCAAGTCGGTATATGTGCGCAAACTCTTTGCTATCACTAAAACAATGGAAAAATAAAGACAGTATCTCCTCATATCCCCATTTGTTATCAAGACCGACCATAAGAGTTTACACCACCTGATGAATCAGGTGATTCAATCTTCAAAGCAACAACAATTTCTTTCAAAACTGTTGGGGTTCTAATTCACCATAGTCTACAAGTCTGGCAACACAAACAAAGCAATTGATGCTCTTTCTAAACAACAGCCAGAAGGAGATTTCTCCCTTCAGCACAATTATTAGCCCTATCTACTCCTATGAGTAATTACCTAATTACAGTCATCCAAGAATTACAAGAGAATGAATTTACTAGAAAAGAATTAAAGAAGTGCAAGCTGCTCTGGGTCGCTGGCTTCATTGGACTTGCAACGGTCAATTGTTATTCCATAGACACCTAATTGTGCTATAAGAATACTCATCCTTGATCCGTCGACTCTTGTTTGATTTTCATTCCTCTCCTCAAGGTGGACATGCGAGAGTTCGTCAAACCATTCATAGACTCCAGCGTCGTTTTACATGAAAAGGAATAATAATAAGAGTTAATGACTTTGTCAAAACTTGTGATATCTGCCAAAAGGACAAACCTCCTAATCACGTACCTTTTGGGTTATTACAACCCATTGCCCCTCCTGAACCCGTTTAGACAGATCTCTCCATCGATTTCATCGCTCATATATCATTATCTATTGGCTTCACCATGATTATGGTCGTGGTTGATCGACTCGTCAAAGGAGCTCACTTTGCTTCATTACCCACTCACTATATAGCAACCAAGGTAGCACAAACATTTTGGGAAGTCGTGGGAAAACTCATAGACCTCCTCGTTCCATCATCTCGGCACATTTCTTGAATCGATTATGGAAAACTCTATTCTGTTTACAAGAAACGTCACTTCAGTTTAGCAATTCATATCACCCACAGAGTGACGTACAAACAGAATGCATGAATCGTGAATTAGAATAATTTTTGCATTCATTCGTGCATGAACAACCAAAGCACTAGTCCAGATACTTTTGCTGGGCAGAATATCACTATAACACAGCTTACAATTGTAGCACAGGAATGCCTCTTTTAATCCACTTACGATCGTCCACCACAGTGTCTCTTGAAGTACTCATTGGGATCTAGTCCCCCCGAAGCCATAGACTCACATCTACAACACAGAGATTAGAATTTAGTAACTCTCAAAACAAATCCTTAGAGAGCTCAACAGAAAATGAAACATGCAATATGCAGAAAACAAAAGAAAAGATCACACGTTTCAACCGGGCGATTTGGTGTAATTGTGCCTGCAGTCTTACCGCCAACTCTCTGTCCACCGACGGTCCTCACAGAAGCTCTCTTTGCATTTCTATGGTCCATTCAAGGTTTTGAAGAAGATTGGACCCGTTGCATACAAGCTACAACTCCAGCTGACTAAAAAATCCATCCTGTCTTCCACATATCACTCTTAAAACCTTACCATTCCAACACCGTGTACAACATACACCCACTACCTAAACCCTTTGACACAGCTACACCCATACATCCTCCTGCTGTCATACTTAACCGCTGCACCATCTTTCGCATCAACCATATGATTGACCAAGTTTTGGTTCTTTGGGATGGCCTTCCCTAAGAAGATGCTACTTGGGAAGATAACACTTTGTTGGATCCTTTAATGCCACCAGAATTACTTAATTTTGACCTCACACAAATCAAAACCCCTCATACCAGTGGTTAACTCAGTGGAATGAAGTCATAGGAAGAACCCAACAGAAGAGGAGGATGAAAGGACTCCACCAATATCAGAACCTCAACAAGCGTGTCCTAATACTTTTACTCACAACTACTCCCAAGCGCTTTGAGTACCTAATCCACAATTACTTCCAACTGACGTGGCACCCCTACGAGCTACTAATTCAAACTTAACTCCACCCCTATCTAAAGTAACGAACCAGCACTACAATAATGAACTAGAAGATAATAGGCCCATCAGGAATAGAAGGAAGCCCAATTACCTTGCTGACTATGTGGTTTAAGTGAGCTCACACTGATTTCTTTTTATATATAGTAGAATATCCTGATGTAATTAGCTTAACGAAAGCATAGTATTTGAATTTCGTAATGTTTATATGTGACCGAATATAAATATTGCTATTGGAAATATAGAAGATATACATAAAATTTGGAAATTCTCCTTCTCTCTCATTCTCACTTCTCCTAAACCCTCTTCTTCTCTTGTCTTGTTCACCTGAAGGTGCCTTTACTTCACTTACCAGCGTGTTGTTTATCACCGTCATTGATCAAAATAAATAAATTTTCAGATCCTTAGTGGTATCCTCAAGATATTAAGTTTTAGAGTTCTAAAAGACTCGGAATTCTAAGAAGTAGAACTTCAACACAAAGATACATTGTTATTGGAAAGTTGCCAACTTTTGGAAGGAATAAAAGAGTCTAGCATATATGGCCCTACTACGCCTGAAATTTCAGGAATTAATTGGAGACAACTGAGAAGAGAGTGGGGGCCATTTCACGTGGTTTTGCTATTCTTTCTCGTGTGATAAAAGGATTTAAAAGCATTTTGATAGAGATTGTGGGGTTTTTCAGCAGCATACCCCTGTTTTTGAGAATTTCAAATAATAAAGCAACTGATATTCAGTGCATCACGCATAAGCTAACCTTGCTTTTCTATTTGAATGACTAGACAATACTAACTTACCTTTAAATAAATTAAAAGCAGCCTAATCGATCGGCCAGAGAGATCATCTAAAGATGATTAAAGTCTCCAATATTGGTTTATATTGCTTTCGACCACGTCTTGTCTATCATTTGACAGGTAATAACTATGCTCTAAACCCTTATAAAGATACCAATATAACTGATCTTAATAAAATAATAATGAGAGTCTTATAAATAAATTTAAATACAAATAATTATTTTGATAAAGATAGTCACATTCATACATAGAATTTGACAACTCTTTTTTAGCCATAAATACCGGTGATGAGATGGCAATATGGACGCTCTTGACCCAAGTTATATTCTATAACAGGTTTGATATTCAAAGAGTAATTATGTGCAATACAGAAAAGAAACTATTTACCAAAAAAAAAAAAAATTTCTTAAATAATTTATAGTAATCTACCATTTCTTCTTTGAATGTTTTTCAAAAAGTTTTCTATGCACAAACAGCATAATATATAATAATTAAAAAGGTATTCTAGCCCTTAGTTGTCTTAGAAATGTCAACTATAATCTCCAACAAAAAAGAAAAAGAAATGTCAACTATAACCATTCATATTCATCTTTTCCTTTTTAAAAAATAGCTATATGTTAACTAAAGTTATTGTTATAATTATTATATTAATGTTAATAAGTGATCAGTGGGAATATATAACCAGACTTGAGAACGTTTTTTTTTTTCCCGGTATAGGCCTAATAATCACCAGTTGTGCTATAATGTTGTGATTGTACATTTGTACCATATTCCTCTCCTTTAGCATGCTCGTGAATTTTATGGACTCCTGTACGTAAACCCTAATGCTCGTGAATGCTAACAAAACATGCCATCAAATTTTGCGGTTTTCATTTTGTTCAAATGGATGTGTCCTTCAATTGTGTGGCCTCACCTTCACGATTCCGCCACTTTTATATCAAATATTACATTTTCAACTACGGATCGAATTGTTGGGAAAAACTCGGTTCCCTCTAGCTCGGCTAAGCAGCCTTTGTGCGGAAGTCAATCAACAAGATCCTGATCTCGGATCTCGGCAATACCTCGGCCTGAACTTCACCAGGTCAGGCAGCGCAGCTGAACTATCAAAGCGAAAAATCACAAAATAGGAGAGAGAGAAGAAGAACACAACCAGTTTTAACGTGGGAAAACCTTCTTGAATGAAGAAGTAAAAACCCACGGGACCTAGTCCAGATCAGAAATTGACTATGAAAATAATGGTTACAAATAATCAAATACACCAATGTGGTGGTTAACTCAACATCTCCAACAATGTTTCACTCAAACTCTCTCTAGAGATCTCTCAAATGCAAAGCATAAAGCTTTTGCTCAAACAATCAAATAATTCTCTCAAATTTGTTCTCTCAAATCTGACCTCTCCAATCTAACCTAGCCTCCACCCACAACTAATGAGTATATATAGAGTAGGTGGAAATTAGGGTTAAGGTTAGGAAACCCCTCAAATGAGCTTGGGCTTAGCATTGAAGGAGGAAGCCCAACACGAATAACCATACCATCACCTATCAAAACCCAATTAGATAATAATGCAGTTGATGCCAATATATAATTAAAAGGATTAGAGCTCTCAATGGAACGTCCTCAATCTGAAGCTTTAATAGAGATTTTGCGGGTGAACAAATTATGCTAGCTGACAAACTTGTAAGCGCATATTTCTTATGATTCATTGAACTCTAAATGCCAACATCCGTGAAGACTTTTGGCATTGCTTGGTACAATGAAAACATATAATCCCGTAGTAAAAGGTTCACATTATGTCCACTTACAAAAGGATAATCTGACTGGACCCTTATCATATACCTACTTATGGTAAAAGCAAACTATATATGTCCAAACACATTCCCAAAACGTTGAACCCCAAAAAGGTATGAACAAAGCAACATTATTTAATATTCAAAAGGAACTAAGGCTGCAACTTGATATTGTTCAGGATCCCCTAATGCAGATAAAGCCAATGGAGTGCAGAGAGCGGGGCTTCCGTTCTGGTACAGTACTGGTAAAATTGTGAGTCTTGGGTTACTTTATAATTTTTTTAGTAGTTTGGATTCGCCCCATAAATAATTATTGCCACTTAGGGTTTTTTAAACCTATTTATATATTGTTGTATAATTAAGTGCATTGTAACATATTGTATGGTGACAGACTTCTTGAACATAACCGACATGATCCTTAACGATACTAGCAAGGAGAGAAGAACAGCCACACGAATCAAAGTAACTGATTGTGATCTTCTTCTTCTTTTTTTGTGATCTTTTCTAAATTGAAGTTTCATGTTTTTCAACACCATTGTTATGAGAAACCTTTCTTAAAATTGTTATATAATTTTTGTTTTTATACAAGAAATCCTTATAGAAGGAATAATAAATTAAATGTGAATACCAAAATTCACTAATAATTAATCATATTGCAATGATGATATGTTTTTTTAAAATGGAATGATGATGACATTTTTAAAATGGCGGGGATTGAAAATGGATGGGGTGTATAGTGATAGGCGAGGAAGAATAAAGAAGACGAAAATTTTGAGAGTTTGGGTAAATTATTTTTTTAATAAAATTCAATTTTAGTAAAAAGGAAAAGATTGCAACACTTAATATTAAATCAGGGTACGATATGCACAATTACATTAATTATGGTAGAGAGCACAACGGCACTAGTAAATCAAGTATATAATTTAAACCTTTTTTAAAAAAATTCTTTTGGTTTTAAGACATCCATTTGGACAACAATTATTCTCCTTCATCAGGTATATAAAGTGCAAAGGTTTTTTTTTTTTTTTTTTTGTATTCAAAAAAAAAAAAGTGCAAAGGTTTTTTTGCCATTACCCCAAATTATTTCATCCAGAAATTGAACCAGAGTTCTTTTAACTACGCTTCTTCTACAGCTCGATTATCACTTATGTCACTCAAGGGGGTTTTAATTTTATTTTTTATTTGGTGTCCCCGTTCGTCTTAGGTGGTGATTTATATTTGCTTCCATTATAGACCTCTGGGTCCTCAGCAATCGTGTGAAATCCTGCGTCGCCATAAAGTGACAAGAATCGCCGGGTCCACAAAAGATCTCCTCAAGATATTAACAAAAGGTGGAAACATATTTTTCTTTTATAAAATTTATATTTTAATTTCAACGTATAATCTATGGAATTTGCATTTGTCATTTAACATGACACAATAAACTTTCCTACACACAAAACATTTTATGGGGACCACACTTTTTGAAGAAAAAAGAAAAACTATGGCACGCAAAACGAATCTCTATAACATTACACAATAATTTTTCCTACAACATAACTCTTATAAAATCCATAATTCTATTACTTCTGAATGATTATTTCATAAGATAATTATGTTGATACCCCACAGATAAGGTAAAACAATACAATTTTCTTCTAATTTTTAGTGATACAAGCAACACATTTTATTATTCAATGGAATATGATTACAAAAACCTAAATATTTATTATTGAACATCATAGTACTGTTCAAATATAAATAAACTCTACCAGCTGTCAAATTTTTTATTTATATTAAGGTACAGTATAGAGTGTGCTTAATTTTTTAATCAAACTTATATTCAAATTCTATCTGAAAAGAGAGGCAATTGTAGATGAAAAATAATATGAAATAAG